TGAGTCAACCCTGAGCCGGTGAGATTTGAACAGCCGAACTGCAGAACTGCAGTCAGCTGAAGTAGCCTGCAGTGCTGCATTTAACCACGGCATTTAACCACAGCATTTAACCACGGCTCTTAACTTGCCCCAGTTGTTAAGTGAATCGCTGCAGTTGTTAAGTTGTCAACCCCGGTTGTTAAGTGAATCTGGTTTCCCCGTTGACTTTGCTTATCTGAAGGTCACAAAAGGGGGTCACATCACACCAGGACACAGAAACCACCATAAATATGAACCACTTGTCAAGCATTTGAATTTGATCCTGTGACTGATGCTGCAACGGTTGTGTGAAAAATGGTCACTTTTTTGACTGCTATCCCAAGTTTGAACGGTCACTAAATGGCCCGCTGTAAGTCGAGGACTACCTTTAATACACCAGTAACTGTTCTTCACTTTTTGGGGTGAGTAGCATAAAAGCGTAGTATATCATGGTTTTCAGCAGTGGTTATTATTCTGTAGGAAACAGGATATACGTATAATCTGGAAATGGGCAATGGGAATGATAGGAAGATAAAGAGGTCATACCTTTCCAGTTATAGGTCCCTGGTGCACCAAATACAATGTAATGATTATCTCTGGTAAATGTGGCTGCAACACCTTGCTGGCAGGAGCCAAATTTCTCATGGCCCCTCAATCGGCCGTCACAGAAACTCCATTCCCCACCATCCATATACTCATCGGCGGAAATGGAAAGATCCTGACTCAGCACGTAGCATCTCCCAATGATGTCTCGGGTTTCCTGTTCCGTGTTGACATAGTACCTTTTCTCATAGCGGTGTGCACAGGTCTGTAAAGCATCAAAAGCAAATTCGATCAGTCAACAGACCTGTCTCCTCTACACATGAACAGGGCTGATTTTCCAAACAATTAACTCCGCACAGAAGGTCTGAGGATAAGTGTGTCTTTGCTTTAACCAGACGGAACCGTATCGTAAATGCGGCTTTCGCTATAAAATGTAGCAGTGCACTTCCAATCTTATGTACACTTGCTTTGTTAACTGCACCTTTGGAATAGTTCATTTCATTTTGTTTATTTCAGCCATCTATATATCAATGTGCCTTGTGTGGAAGGTCCATAAATAAGATATAAGAGAGCACTCAAGACCGGTTCCCATCTCAAATGATCACAACTGTGCAAACCCTTTGAAAGAGAGGCTGCGCAATACATAGGAGGGCACACAAAACCCCACTTTCCAAATCCCTCAAGCAGGCACATCTTTTTCCAAGCTTCTGTGTGACTGCTCTGGAACCTGTCCCTGGCTGTCTCTGCACAGGCGTGCATATACTGTCATTCCACAATTCAAAAAGAAAAGATACATAGAGCCGTGAAAATTAAAAATAAAATGGCACAACAGCACAACTATAACCTTAGAGGTAACAATGATTAAACAATAGTCTGGCAGACAAAACTATATTTTTTTCCTTTTGTTTTTGAATGCTGTGGTGGGGTAGGGCTTTATTGTGGAAATAGGAATTCAAGACTCTCGGTTCGTTGGAGGGATTACAGATTTTTGATGGGCCGGACCTTCAAACACCTATCTTTGATTTCTCTTTAAAAACATGGGGAAATCATTCCTAAGTTGCTTCATAACTTGACACCAGCACAGTGTTTCTCAACCTTAGTAACTTTAAAATGTGTGAATGACTCCCAGAATTCTGATTGAGGAATTCTAGAGCAGAGGTCCATACATATTAGTTTCTCAGGATGAGAAATACCAATTTAGCAGATGCATTTTTGGGAGCTTAAAAAAGTGGTTTGCGGTATATGTCCCCTTGTGGTCTTTAGGTCGTCCACCTCTGGCTCTAAAATAGTCCTCATTTAGCAATGACAATTGGGACCAGCAATTTGGTGGTTAAGTGAAGTGAAATGAAACCATGTCTGTACTTTCTTTTCCTTTACAGACCTGAAAAGGTCATAAATGTGAGGCTCGGACACAAAGTTACTTTTTCATCACTGTCAATAATTGTGAATGGTTGCTGGACAAGGCAGATGCTAAATAAGGATATGGGAAGTCTTCAATTAATGACCACTCATTTAGTAACTGTTTGAACTTACAACTGTGCTGAAAAAAGTTACTTATGACGAGTCCTCACACTTCTGGCAATTGCAGCATCTTGTGTGATCACAGTTTAAGACCTTTCCAGCCAATTTCCAACAAGCAAAGTCAGTGGAGATGCTGGAAGGTCGCAGGCCGCAAGTCACAATCATATGATGTCTCACTCAACAGCCACAACTGGAACTGCGGTTGTAAGTCAGCATGGTGGTGTGATGTTTTACCCAATAACTGCTTTGCTTAGTGATGGAATTGTCAGTGCCAATTAGAGTTGTTAAGTGAAAAGTACCTGTACCTATAAAATCAAAATAATCCTAAAGACTTGTCAATGAAAAAAAAAAAACCTGAAAATAATCCTAAAGACTTGTCAATGTCAAAAAAAAGCCACCCTAATAATCCTCAAGATTTGTCAGTGTCAAAAAACCCAACAATGTTGAGGCTCAGAGAATATTCTCAAAACTTACCACAATTTTTCCACCTGGCCCCTGACTTTGCACAGTTACACCCATCCACTGATCTTCTTTGCTTTCTTTTTTTGGGTCAGCTAAAAAAAAATCATTGCAAAAAAGATTTCATCTATTTCTACTATTCATTTTTAAATAGTTTCTGTACAATTATGTGCAAATTATTAATATATTTTTCACTATGGATTCACTAAATATTATTTATACCTGCTATAGTCTCTAGATGGCACTGCTTGTCTACAATATCAGTACAAAGTTTTCACTGATCAACATTGCATTTAGAACCGAGATATCATTATAGTATTAAATGTGTAATGAGTTATATAATAAAATAGTAAAGAATGATATATTTGCTCATATTCCTCTTCTTCATTCTATTCATACAAATCTTTCTGTTTGTTAGGTACTTCCCCTATCCCACCACAACAATGAATCAAGACTCCATGTTCATTGAACATCCTCATTTCTCATTCTATTCTTGGGAATCTAATGTGTTTCCCCAAAAATAAGACAGGGTCTTATTTCCCACCCCACCCATCCCCGAAGTAAGCACTTGGACTTATTTTCAGGAAGGTCTTATTATTTTTGAGGTGCAGGAGGCTGCGAGCATGGTCACCTTATGGCTGCTGCCATGTTGCAATGTTTTTGGCAAGGGCTTATTTTCGGGGGAGGACTTATTTTAGTGCATGTGCTCAAGAGCCCGATTGGGCTGATTATCAGAAGGGGACTTATTTTCGGGGAATCCGGGTATGTAAGTCTAGAAAACTCAGAAATTCTTTGATTCTGCTGGTACATCATGTGCTGTTTTTGACACATAACAACCAGTGACCAGGGAATTGACATCACATTAATCTATATGCAAAATACATATTTTTTTCTGGGACTATATATACTTTTTGAAGCATCTAGGAAACTGACCCCTCTATCATTTACTTGAACTACATACATGTAGTTTTGAAAGAGCAAAACCTGCTCAAATTGTCTCTACCCAAAACAATGAAAATGGAAGCTGGAAACACTCGATAGTTGATTCTATCCGCATTTAAAAGTGATAATTAAAAATAAATAAATTAGAACTGCCAAGCTGGAATCTCCCAAGAAGTTCCTAAATAAGTATTTTTATTCTGCCTAGAAAAAACAACAACAAAGGCCCAGCTAGCTCACCTGTCTCATCAAATTTGATACGTTTGCAGGGAAGTTCTGGAGTTTCGATGTTGCAGCTGAACAAACCTCCGGTTCTGTTAGCTTGTTGCAATGGGAAAGCCTTTTGCCGAGGTGCACCAACCAGCAAGCTGTGGAAAGAAGACTAGAAGAATGTAATAGGGAACTGATAAATGAAGATGCAAATAAGGTATCATCTCATACACTTATAAAACATTACATCCACATATGTAGCTAGTAGCCCATCATTATCCCTCTGAGCCAAATACCGGAGTTGCATCTCTTCTTCCCAATTCCCTACAAGGAAACACTTTTCCTGTTTTGAAAAAAAAAATAGCACAGGTAATCCTCAATTTACAACCACAATTGAGTCCAAAATTTCTGTTGCTAAGTGAAGCATTTGTGGAGTGACGTTTGCCCCATTTTACGATGCTTCTTGCCACAGTTATTAAGTAAATAACACGGTTGTTACCGTTTCAAAAGTTTTTTTTCATTTTCATTTTCATTTTATACAATCACATATATACTGTGCATGATTAAGGCCATATAACATTAAGCAATAAACACAAC